TCGGGATGGGTTTTTTTTCAAGCTTATAGTTGTGTGCGTGCGTGAGAGAGACCAAATTTGTATCACTTTATTGACATGGGGACACAATATTCTGGCGAGTCTTTCCGGAGCGTCTTATAATCTAGAGAATACGGTGCATTTCTTTACAGTACGTGTGGTGTGTGTGTCTTGCCACGTGCTAATAAACGTGACACGTTGCAAAATAGTGTCCTTCGACCATGGCGAATTGACGGTAAAATAACCTACACGGCGTGGGGAGGCTATCATCCAGCAGTAGGTTGACCACAACGGCTGTGTGTGTGTGCATTCTATTCTGATTGACACCTGGCCGGCTCCTGCCACATACTGAGCACTTGGACGCTGACACAATCACGCCCCCATCGAATGTTCCACCACGCACAGCGGGCGGAGACCGCATCTTAAATATGCACCTCGGATAATGTGGATTTTATACAGCGGTGCAGGAGGCCAGCGGCACCCGAACGCACAGGTTACGAAGCGGTCATCTGAAATGTCGGCTCGGGATGCCCGAACGACGACTCCGTACGTCTCCTTGTGGATGATGTGCTCACTGCTCCACCTGTCCATCGTAGGCTTTCTCTGAAAGAGGAATTACGTGCATCATCGCTTCACCTGGATATGCAGCGTGTTGCAAAATTCTCTGGCACGTGTTGTGACGGGTACTGCAAGATCCGACCGTGTCCGTCCCAGTGCTCGTCGAGCTGCATTGGCTTCCGATTGCCGAGCGGATTCATTGTGAGGTCGCACTCAGTACGCGCACAGCGCGTGCCACAAATGAACCACACACAACAGCTCGCTGATCTCGTCATGGAGCGTAAACCATCACGCGACCTGCGGTCATCCTCGCAGCGGCGGCGTTTGGGCTGCAAGCCATCCAAACAGAGACGGTCACCGCATCGCGCGGCGCTTTCAGGCACGCTCCTACGGCCGTCTGGAACGCTCTCTTCCGATATTAGGAAGCCCACTGGAGCTGTGCACTTTTCAATCTTGAATTTGTTTTTTTAAATCTTTAGAACTGCTTTTTGTGTTTAGTTTGTTGTCCTTCCCCCGCACCTCCGATTAGCACGGTTGGCTACGTATTCGTGTGAAAGAACTTCACTATACATACGATGGGCATTACAAAGAAGTAAATCAATCACATGCTCACTGTGGACCCCCTGGCTTAACATCATTCCGGGTGCGCAGAGGCGCTGAACCGCTGACGATCGAATAATGGTGGGCGCTATCAAACTACATGCCTACCGCCACCTTACAACAAAACCCACTAAGGAGCTTCACGTCAAATTGTTCTCTTCCGACGGCTGCATCGCTCGCAATCAAAGCATCACGATGAAAAACAGCTTCTAGTCACCAGGGCCCCTTCTTTAGAATGACCTGAAAACTGCAATGGTTTCTCTGTCTGCGATGTCATTCTCCGTGGAGCTACGGACACGAAGGCCACGAAAACAGCCCTGGCTCTCCGTGGATAAAATTACCACGCTGGGACCAGAAGCATGCCGCCCGCCTCAGAGAGGACAAGGTATAGGGGAGAAGGTTTAAGGGAGTCCATAAAGCGGTGTTCTTCATTGCAAGGCCCACGGGCCAATGGCCGGTCCATGGTGGCCTTTAGTGCGGCCCCTGAAAATACATAAATGTTAAAACGCCCCATCGTGCTGCTGTCAAACCCAATGGTTTCAAATGTGTGGCAGCCCTCACACTGATGTCTTATCGGCGAAAGTGGCCCTCTCTGAAATTTTGTGAAGAATACTGCCTTATAACAAATGCGAAAGAGGACCTGGAGGGTTCCTATTGAAAACTGGCCAATGAGGCGGAGGAAGGACTGAGATTTAACAATCTATGCCCAACGTATTGCGAAATAAAGCACATGTGTGGCGGCCCACAATTGGGGAACTCTGAAACATCTGTCTCGAAATGGGACAGTTTTGCGTGCAACCACACAGAGGAGAGCACTGGACCGCAGGCGACCACACGACGAGCGAACGCTTAATCCAACGATGGACTTGGACACGCAGGCATCTGCCAACACTACTTGGAGGTACCCAGAACTGCCGTGATGTAATGGTCTGCATGCACACTGAACTTGCAAATTTCCCAACTCTGGACTGGTTAAAACCTCTTTGAGCCCCATCAGCAGTGTGACCTTGTGGAAGACCCAACACAGAAGATCCCTGGTTTTGATCTTCCGCTAAGCTCATGGGTCCACGCTAAACCGCATCTGCACAAACCATGGCAGATGCGGATGCCTGATACACAAATGGAAAATAAATTTTAAAAACTCCAGTGATGCGACTGTGGTCATCCAGAACAGACCATAAAACATATAACGATGCAATGCCCGATCCATAAATACGAAGGAGACATCACAGCGACACTCGGTTTGACCGCCTGCATATGAAATTGTAGTTGATGCTCTGCATCTAGGGCAGCCATAAAGATGAGCTAACGTGGCACGTGGATCAAACATTCAGACTGAAATTGTGACCTGTTTGATCCAGGTCAAAATTCAACCTTTTTGAAAGGATTTACATTTATAGGGTGCATTAATGTCTCGGCAAATCAATGCACCTGGCGACATTCCAATGCCTATGCTGCAGTCTAACTTAGGGGACCCTCCAGTGGCAATCGTCCCAGTGCGGCAAAAGATGCATGCAGTTCAAAGCCTGCGAATGAGGATTACATCTACCAGTGAGGGGGGGGGGGGGCGCGATGTTGCTGTAAGGCATTCCGAATGAATGCAACCAAAGTATTGGTGTGTGAGCATGCTGACTGAAAAGAGACACGATGTTTGAATATCAGCATTTTAATGAAAGCAATAGTGACCCAATGATTTAAATAAATACTGCAATAAAAACCTTATTTTAAAGTACACAAGCAAGCTCATGAAATTTCAGTGTGCTCATAATTTGAAAAGGGCACATTGTTATTTATTGTTGATCAGGAATGCACTTGCGATGCTTGCGCACACAAACATGCCAGCAGGATTTTGAGTTTCTGTGTTGCTCATTTACATAAACGCAACTACGTAATGATCATCGATGAGCAAACCGCTTGTACAAAAATACCTACATTTTTAAACAGAATGCCCACTAACAGCAAAGCAGAAAGTTGCATAGACTCCGAACCCATCCCTTACTTGACTTTGCACGCTGACAGTGGCTCGAACCAATGAAAACAATATTTAAAAAAAAAACTACATAACATCACATTTCTGCACTATTGCACAGTAATTGGACTTTTAAAATGAAAAAAACGACTTCGGCATAATTTTCACTTAAGTATATATTTCAGTGTTGTCTTAAAATTATTACAGTACTGTACAACAAAGAGCCATGTTGCACCACGTTGGCAGTGGCAGATTTAAATCGCTCACTGTTTCATCTGAAGCTAAACTCCACCCAGACAAGTGCGACAAAATACCCTTTTTCCACTGACTTATTGCCGAGCCAGAAACAAACCATGAAGCAATCTGAATCTTGCTTGGGGCCAAGCAGGGCCAGGGTTAATAATTTTCATCACACGTTGCGCACATTGCATCAATCGGTACATGGACTGACACAACGCACGTTCATAGTGTGTGATGTGGACAGCATGGCTTGGGTTCTGCAGTGGAAAAACAAACTCAGTACCTCCTTACTCACGTCGCAGCCCGCTTTTGCAGTGGAAAAAGAAAATAGTTAAAATGGCCAAACAACACGCTCCTGCGACGAGAAGAGCTGCATTTTTATTAAAAAATAAAATCCCTGCTTAATTATAATTTCTGATTTGTGTTTCGTAGTACCTACAAGAAGTATACATTCAATTCCTGACAATACAATAAGTACTATGGGTTTTATTTTTGGTATATTTTAAGTGCTGATACATTACTTGGGGTGACATTATACTTTTTGTTTCTGCACTTGAATCACAATTGACAGTAAAAAGCATAATAAACACTGTTTTGAGAATATTTGTTGGATACAGAGGCTCATGTCTTAAATAGTGAAATCCCTGACGTAAGTACATTTTACGACATGAGTCGTATTACCGTATTTTCCCGCATATAACCCGCAGGGTATACCACTTTTTACAAACAAAACAAGACCCTGCGGGGTATATGGAGGTGAGGGTTATTCCAAAAATATTTTACACGTGTGACATGTCATGACTCGTTAAATGTTTTCATGGTAGGACTATCCACTATGCAACACTTACCTTTGACGAAAGCACTGCTGAATAAACCACTCACACTAAAATTGCACATGTTATCACGTTTTAAATTATTCGAATTGTTTGTACAATGAAACGATAATGTTTGAAGTGGGCGCACTTTGTTTACTGGCGACGGGAGTGCTGGGGGGAGGGAGAGGTGGGGGGTTAGGGGTGGGACAGAGCAAGATCTGTGGTAGTGACGGGAGAGCTGGGGGGAGGGAGAGGTGGGGGGGGGTTGGGGGCGAGGCAATGGCGTCACCGTAGTGCCGCTATTATCTGCGCAGTGCGCAATCGACCAGTGCTAAAACTGTACTTATCTACCAGTTATGTGTTACTTATTTACCAGTTATGTGTTACTTATTTATTGGATATTTACTTTTGTTACTTATTTACTGTTTTAAGTTCACTCGTTTCCCGTGTGTTTTCTTTGTGCACTTTAAGATTTTAATGTTAACAATTGATAGTGGAATGTATTACAAATGTAAACTTCGTATGAATATGATGTAATTAAGCTGCAGTAACGACGTTAAATATATGAATGCATGCGGGGTATATGAAGGTGCGGGCTATCTGAAATTTGTTTTACACAAAACGCTATTTTTGCGGGGTATATGCGTCTGCGGGTTATATGCGTATGCGGGCTATATGCGGGAAAATACGGTACTTAACGCTACGTGTAGACTTGTAACCGCCACAGTAATGTGTCTCACACTGGCTCGTGCCCATCAATCGAGAGATGCTTCATTCATTGCTGTGAAGGATATAGGGGTGCAGACTTTATCTGTAGATTAAAACTCAAAAATTAAAATTAACGGTATAATAATTTCCAATTCTCAAAACCCTCACACCATCCCTCATATGTATACGTGTATGAGAGAGCATAGGTTTGCAATTCGCATTGCCATTGTAATATTAAACCGCACAACATGATAAAGACCAGGAATAAAACATGGTGTCAACCATGACGTGACACTATCATTCATACATTCAGATAGATGCATAAAAAAGGTCCCTTTCAGTTGTTGCACACTTTACAAGAAACCCTCCGACTCTGACAACAGTGTACATTTCTCTCAGGCAGTGGCATGTGAAGACGTGGTCCCGGCAGCTGCCCCAACATCACCAAACAGTGGCTTTCCAGGCTCATTCCAGGTTCACTGCTCATTCCACTACTTCGGGTGTATTCTCCCGACGCCGGCTTCGGCAGAGATGAACTTCTTCGTCTCCCCCGTGGGACCTTCGTCCTCGCTCTCCGCCTCGTCCTGACGCGGCGAGTAGGACGTCTCCTCCTCGTCCTCCTCGGCGCGGGGGCTCACGGCGTCGTAGGCGGGCCGCTTGCCACGCAGGGCGGCAGCGAGTTGGAGCCCGCCGAAGACCACGCAGAAGAGCACGGCCATGACCCCGCACACCACGAGCCCCGTGAGCAGCGCCGAGAACGCCTTCGTGTCGTCGCCCGTGCCCCCCTTGACCTTCGCTTCTGCCGCGCCGGTGACATCGCTCCCTCCGCCTCGCGTGGCGCCACCCGCGAAGCTCGCAGCGGGCACGATCCTCGAGTTGTTGTTGGGACCCGGCGGCGGCGGCGGCGGCGGCGCGGCGGTGAGAGCGGGAGTGCCGTTCGGCGTCGTCATCGGTGAAAGAGTCGCGGGTCTCGCGGTCCGCTTGTCGGTGGCGGCGTCCGGCAGGGTAGCGCAGCGCTGCTCTCCGAAGACGAGCTCGGAGCCGGGCGGGCAGCTCAGGCAGTCGCTGTCGGAGTGGCCGCCGCACTGGGCGCAAGAGGCGTGGCACGGGAGGCAGGCGGCGCCTGCGAAAAACCCGGCGGGGCACTCCCACACGCAGGCGCCCTGGTGCAGCAGCAGCGCAGGGTCGCACGCTGCCGACACACACGGGCGTAGCGGTCACTGCCGTCGTCGCAGCGTCTGCAGCGCGGATCTACGCGCGAGGATGACGTGCCTGTACTGGCCTCGTGTAAATCCACTGCTGGATGAAGGCCTCCTCGTGACGTTGCGCTATAGTACAGTAGGACAATGGATTTTGCTCGCACTGTGCCCTCGACTTCACCTCATCACACTTGTTTTCTGTCAATCATTGATAACACCGTGGCCTTAAAAGAAACAATACGATAGGCGAAGTATCAGGCAATGGTCCTCATGCATGAGCGAGGAGGAAAGAGCAAATGCCCGAAACGTAACCTGTTATATACATTTTGTTTCTTTTAAGGCCAGTTTTATTGACGACTTCTTTTTTTCTTTGTCAATTGTGCTTGTGCACCGCTACCAAAACACAGCCAAGGTGGCTCAGTGCATGGGGGTTGAGCACCACTTTGCGCGAGGTCAACAGCGGTGTGTCCCCCCCCCCCCATGGCTACATTCACCCCTGCCAAAGGAATGTAAAGTTTCCACCACTGGCTCAAGGCTGTGAACAGCAGATGAGAACCGCTTCAACGCTCACTTGATCGGGAAATCTCTTTTGACTTTTTTCACTTTGGTGATCGTCACACTCGGGTGATTGTTTTAGGCACGGGAAAAATAACAAACCGAAAAAAATGCTGCAACATTCAGCCTGCGCTGCTTCAGCCAACTGTTTACCATGGGCGCCGCGGGCCTCACCTAATAAAAAAAAATAGCTGTAGAAACGTTTTAATGTTGACTTACATAAACCGTAAAAAAACACCAACGTGTGCCAAAACAAATGAAACATTAGTATTTTTTTAAAAAATTACACCCACGTGTAAAATGTATCATCCCTTTTATTTGCTTACATTGCCATGAAACTGGTTTTGAAACGTGTCAAGGAATGCAGCGCTGACTGATGTTGGTCACGTGCATTGGGGCGGCTGTGACCAGTCGCTTCGGAGGCCCCCACCAACTGCCCCGCAGGTGCACATTTGGACACCGTCGCCTCACCCCAACACCTTTTCCGACCACATTAAATTAACTCACTCACCGCCCATCTTACGCACACCGGTGAAATAAAGAGAGGCGTGGAATCCTCACGGGCAAACCCCCCCCCCCCCCCCCCCAACGCCGGTTGTTGTCCTCCACTCGCTACTGAAGGCTCAGTCCCACTTAATTATGATAGTCAAGATAAACCTTGTTTCGATTTAAAGCTTTCGTGACTGCAGGGATTCATCTTCTTGGTTCTTTCGGTAAAGTCACGTAGAATGGAAACAAAGTAATAAAAATAAAACATAATAAAATAAAATTCTCACGACGTTTCGGCCACAACACAAGTAGCCTTCTTCAGGTGAAGAAGCGCTGTCGTCCCGACAGTTCTGTTCCTTCACCTGTTGTGGTGTGAAAACCACAACAAGATGATTGCTTGTGTTGCAGTCGAAACGTCGTGAGAATTTTATTGTTTTATATTTTTATTATTTTATTGTTTCCCTTCTACGTGACTTTACCGAAAGAACCAAGAATATGAATCCCTGCAGTCACGAAAGCTTTAAATCAAAATTTCGCCGAGATTTGTTAAAAGTTTGTTTAACGTTGACCGTGCCACGCTCGATGGGAATTACACCAATCGACACCGCCCCCTTACCGCAAAACTACTACAGACTAGGTCTGAAACACAGCGCCTTAGCGATAGCCTTGTACTATAATAAGAATGGCGTGAACAACAAACTTACTTACGATGTAATCATTTTTTAAATTTATTTTTTTACGCGCCCACTTCCTCCCCCTCTACCGTTTAAACAAGGTCACGGTGCAGGGTCATTGTGATACTTGCCGACGCAATTCTCTTTGTCATCCCACTGCCGGCAGGCGGCTCTCGGTGTAGGCGAAGGTGTGGCCGAGGGCGAGGGGGCGGGGGTTGACGGCGATGTCCCTGTGGGTTGGGCTGCAGGCCCAGGCGTCTGTGCCGGGGTGGTCTCTGCTATGTCGTCACCGCCGCTTGCCGTTCCGTACAGCACCAGGGTGAAATTTATGAGTGTCCCTGATGTGCAAAATAGGGCGGTAGCAGAAGCACTTTTCACAAACGCGAATTGCAGCTCCGAAAATTTACAACATTTAGAGTTTCAATGTTGCAGCAAAAAAATAAATGTTTCTTTCTGTGACAAGGCATGGTAACTTGAAAAGATTTTCACCAGTTCGATTCGATCTCCTGGCATGGCAGTTGAAACAATGCGAACGTGTTTTAAAATCCGTCCTGTCCACATAGCGGTATAAATCGGTGCACCACAGTTAGTCATGGGCAGGCCGCGTGTTGTGGGGTAAATTGCGTACTCCCCTCTCATCCTAAACATCATCGAGAACAGCGTAGGCCAAACACCATACATAGAGACTCTCTCGAGCTCCATCTAGTAGAGACTTCCACCAACAGTAGCATGAGCAAGAGATTTCAGGGCTGTGTCTGCAACCACTGTGAAATCCGCTCTTGCGGGCTTTTCTCAACAACACGGGAGTTATGTACTTGCTCCTTAAGCGTTCCAGATAGAAGGTTCATCTCAGCAGTGCACTAGACGGTAGAACAATAGCAATAACATTTTCAAATAAGATGAGAAAAAACTCATAAATGTCACCAGAGTTTCATTTTTCACAGTATATTTTCCAGTGCCCCCCAGACACTACCCCCACCCCCGCCCTTTCCCAGTGCCTCCCCCAGGCAGCTCCAGCTGAAATGAAGCGCCGACTGCGGGAGACGCACCGTAGTTGTGGGACGATCCCTTGTCGATCTCCAGGGTCCATTCCCCGGCAGGGTCCTCGTCCCACGAGTGGGTGGTCATGAAGGCCCAGCCATCAAAGCCCTCGGAGGAGAAGTCGTGGGGCCTGGCCACGCGCCCAGCAAGCACGGCGTCACCCCCACCCACCACCGACCCCGGCAAACTTATCCCCAAAGCTCTCTCGCCTACGCACTGAAGACGCTTTGAAGCTCCGTAACATACAACAAATTCTGCGAGAATGTGCTTTGGTCTCCAAATTAGTCAAATGTGTTTTTGTTTGTCCCTTCAGTATGTCCCTTTCATAAAAAATAGCTTCACTTATGAACAATCTACTGTATGGTCAACTCACAGGTTTACAGTGAAGGAAACAAGTATTTGATCCCCTGCTGATTTTGTACGTTTTCCCACTGACAAAGAAATGATCAGTCTATAATTTTAATGGTAGGTTTATTTGAACAGTGAGAGACAGAATAACAACAAAATCCAGAAAAACGCATGTCAAAATGTTATAAATTGATTTGCATTTTAATGAGGGAAATAAGTATTTGACCCCTCTGCAAAACATGACTTAGTACTTGGTGGCAAAACCCTTGTTGGCAATCACAGACGTCAGACGTTTCTTTTAGTTGGCCACCAGGTTTGCACACATCTCAGAAGGGATTTTGTCCCACTCCTCTTTGCAGATCTTCTCCAAGTCATTAAGGTTTCGAGGCTGACGTTTGGCAACTCGAACCTTCAGCTCCCTCCTCAGATTTTCTATGGGATTAAGGTCTGGAGACGTGCTAGGCCACTCCAGGACCTTAATGTGCTTCTTCTTGAGCCACTCCTTTGTTGCCTTGGCCGTGTGTTTTGGGTCATTGTCATGCTGGAATACCCATCCACGACCCATTTTCAATGCCCTGGCTGAGGGAAGGAGGTTCTCACCCAAGATTTGACAGTACATGGCCCTGTCCATCGTCCCTTTGATGCAGTGAAGTTGTCCTGTCCCCTTAGCAGAAAACACCCCCAAAGCATAATGTTTCCACCTCCATGTTTGACGGTGGGGATAGTGTTCTTGGGGTCATAGGCAGCATTCCTCCTCCTCCAAACGCGGCGAGTTGAGTTGATGCCAAAGAGCTCCATTTTGGTCTCATCTGACCACAACACTTTCACCCAGTTGTCCTCTGAATCATTCAGATGTTCATTGGCAAACTTCAGACGGGCATGTATATGTGCTTTCTTGAGCAGGGGGACCTTACGGGCGCTGCAGGATTTTAGTCCTTCACGGGGTAGTGTGTTACCAATTGTTTTCTTGGTGACTATGGTCCCAGCTGCCTTGAGATCATTGACAAGATCCTCCCGTGTAGTTCTGGGCTGATTCCTCACCGTTCTCATGATCATTGCAACTCCACGAGGTGAGATCTTGCATGGAGCCCCAGGCCGAGAGAGATTGATAGTTCCTTTGTGTTTCTTCCATTTGCGAATAATCGCACCAACTGTTGTCACCTTCTCACCAAGCTGCTTGGCAATGGTCTTGTAGCCCATTCCAGCCTTGTGTAGGTCTACAATCTTGTCTCTGACATCCTTGGAGAGTTCTTTGGTCTTGGCTATGGTGGAGAGTTTGGAATCTGATTGATTGATTGCTTCTGTGGACTTTTATACAGGTAACAAGCTGAGATTAGGAGCACTCCCTTTAAGAGTGTGCTCCTAATCTCAGCTCGCTACCTGTATAAAAGACACCTGGAAGCCAGAAATCTTTCTGATTGAGAGGGGGTCAAATACTTGTTTCCCTCATTAAAATGCAAATCAATTTATAACATTTTTGACATGCGTTTTTCTGGATTTTGTTGTTGTTCTTCTGTCTCTCACTGTTCAAATAAACCGACCATTAAAATTATAGACTGATCATTTCTTTATCAGTGGGCAAACGTACAAAATCAGCGGGGGATCAAATACTTTTTTCCCTCACTGTATGCATGCACGCATGTACAGTATATAGTGGAGATACTGAACAGATTTTGTTTGCTGTTCCTATTGCTCAGCATTGCAGCTAAGGCGTACAAACTCACACGAACATTGGCTTAACAGTGAGCGAACCCGCAAGATTGTACAGCGAGTCCTTCGTGAAGACACATTAATACATTGCAATTTCCCATTCTCAAAAACCTATCAATGTTACGATTAATATTTCAGCCGTAGTCTCTAACGCACATTCTTTTCTCATTAGACCCATTACACACATACACACATATGCATGTGTGCATAGAAGAAAACAAGCACAGCGTTGATTTGAGCCGTTCATCCTCATTATTGTGACAGGGGCATCTGAAAAAGTTGGTAAAATAGCTCGCCCCTGGGCGAGGGATGCTCCGAGGAGCGATAATCGCATGAGGAATGTGAGGGAATACTTCTGGAATGCAGCTGCCATGCATCAAGACGTCCAAGGCGACGGGAATAACTTCATCCGCACGGCAGCCAAACCAACCGTAATCATTCGGTATGAAATTGATGATTAATTTATTCTTCATCCGCTGCTGGATATAGGGCCCACCACTCTTAGAATATAGGTCTCTAATCACTGTGGAAAAGTGAGGCAACATGCATTTGTCCCAGATTCAATATAGCGGAGGAACTGGAACTCCCAGCACCAGCAGCGAAGGGTTGGGCAGCATCACGCCGAGCAACATGTGGCAAGAGCCAAAAATAAATCGGAGCGTCGCAAAACTATCCAGCGCATGCCTGACACTCTCATCATCATTATTATGAACTCTCCACTGCTCGATAGAGACCTCCCCATACTGCTGCCATCTCCCGTGAATCTTGTGAACAGTGAATATAACGAAACAGTCTCTATAACTAGGATGATAACTCCAAAAATAAGGAAATGTATCAATGTCTCGAAGCGCCTTACATCAGCTGTCATTTCAACCGTCCAATAGCCTGCTGCAGTGTAGCCAAGGCGACCCCAGTGACCACCCATCCCCACGTGGCACAAGGGGCATGCGGTAACCGCCGACAAGCGAGCATTAGTCTACCAGTAGGAGGCAATAATGCTTTGCGGCTTTTCCCAATTAAGTCATTTCCGAGTAATTTATCAAATTTGGCAAATTCAGACCATGACTCCAGCACGCAATAATGTCACAGGGTCTTTAAAGTCCACCGTGAATCAGAATAACGACTGCAACACAGCCTTACCGGGGGGCCAGCAGGGTGGAGCGAGTGCCTGCAGGGCTGGTGAGGTAGATGGTGAGGTCTCCCCTCCGGTTGAACGTCAGGGAGATCTTGGCCTGCACGTGCTCCAGCGAGGTGACGTGGTCCCCCGTGCCCCTGCATGCGTCCACCACCTGCTTCACCACCAGCCGGTCCGAGATGCTCCTGGAAAAAAAGACAGCGTGGGGGGTGGGGGGGTGCGTTTTCAGCAGATGCGTGGCATGAGGGGTGGCCCTGCCACTCAGCATCGCACGCCACGCACGCCAAGCCCACCACGCACATGATCTCTGCAGCTGACCGAGCTCAAGATGGAATCCATTGCATTCTCGGGTCCTTGAGATCGATCCTCGAGACCAGTCCTCGGCTTAATAGCAGGCTTGAGGATATTTCACAGTTCTTGGCCTTGGCTTTGAGGATGTGGCCTTGGTGTGAGGACTTGGCTTGGGGGTACGAGCATTGACACTGGCCTCCGTGTACAGGATCCGGCCTTGACTAGCTTGACACTGGCCTCCGCCTAAAAGGCACCTGGCCTTGGCCTCCGCCTTGTGGCTTTCAGCCTCGACCTGAGCTTTGATCTCATGGGTCAGGGCCATGCATCCAACACTGAATATGTCGCAATTGTGGGCGACAGCAGTTGGGTAGTTCCACAGATGAGAACCTCACAGTGGAAAATAAGAAATCTCCGTAATGCTACATACGAGGGTGGTCATTTTTAAGGTAATTACGGTTTTAGAAAATATAGTTCGTTATACATTACGTGGAATACATTGTTGGCCTGACACACACGAAAATGAAGGCAGCATCCATCCCAGTGTGGAAACAAAAGTTATATTTCTGAGCACGTTCGACACCGTGGTATTTGAGCACTTCCCCCTTATCTAGGAAGCTGCACAAATACATTCTGACATCCAGTCTTAATTGGTTGACACAATATGCCAAAAGTGAAACGTCAACTCGTGACTATTCTAATAACTACCCACATCTTTAAAGTGTCTGAAACGTATGTTCGATAGTGTGGAACTTCCCAATAATTGGCCTTTGCACACGATGCTACTGTACATGTTTTGTGTAAATAGAACTACAATTACTCATATGTATGTGTAGAATCGTGCTTCGTGATGCCCTGTGGGATTGTAGACTCAGACGGGGACGAGGGTTGAATATTCAGGGCTGCTTGCCGTTTATTCACGCCAACATCCGCACTCTTCGTTCCGTCGCGAATCACTTACTGCTCCCTGTCTCTTAGCTCTCTCTCCCGACACCCTCGACCTTCGTCCAGGCTACCTCCCGTACACTTCCACCCGTAGCCTCCTTCGTCTCTCCGGCCCAGGAGCCTTTCTACCTGCTAACTGGCTCCTCTCTCTCGCCCTGGCTCTCCTTTGTCTCTCAACCCTCCCCTTCCGTCCTTTCATCCCCTTAGCCCGGGCTCCTCCCTTTTACCTGGCTGCCCTCCTTCTACCTGGCTCCCCCCACTAGTAGACGTCTCAATCTCTACTTACCCCCCTCCTACCTGGCTCCCCCCACTAGTAGACGTCTCACTCTCTACTTACCCCCTCCTACCTGGCTCCCCCCACTAGTAGACGTCTCACTCTCTACTTACTCTCTACCTGGCTCCCCCCACTAGTAGACGTCTCACTCTCTACTTACCACCCTCCTACCTGGCTCCCCCCACTAGTAGACGTCTCACTCTCTCTACTTACCCTCTACCTGGCTCCCCCCACTAGTAGACGTCTCACTCTCTACTTACCCTCCTCCTACCTGGCTCCCCCCACTAGTAGACGTCTCACTCTCTACTTACCCTCCTCCTACCTGGCTCCCCCCACTAGTAGACGTCTCACTCTCTACTTACCCCCCTCCTACCTGGCTCCCCCCACTAGTAGACGTCTCACTCTCTACTTACCCTCCTTCTACCTGGCTCCCCCCCACTAATAGACGTCTCACTCTCTACTTACCCCCCTCCTACCTGGCTCCCCCCACTAGTAGACGTCTCACTCTCTATACTTACCCTCCTCCTACCTGGCTCCCCCCACTAGTAGACGTCTCACACTCTCTATTTACCCCCTTCTACCTGGCTCCCCCCACTAGTAGACGTCTCACTCTCTCTACTTACCACCCTTCTACCTGGCTCCCCCCACTAGTAGACGTCTCACTCCCTCTACTTAGCCTCCTCCTACCTGGCTCTCCCCACTAGGAGACGTCTCACTCTCTACTTACCCCCCTCCTACCTGGCTCCCCCCACTAGTAGACGTCTAACACTCTCTACTTACCCCCCTCCTACCTGGCTCCCCCCACTAGTAGACGTCTCACTCTCTACTTACCCTCTACCTGGCTCCCCCCACTAGTAGACGTCTCACTCTCTACTTACCACCCTCCTACCTGGCTCCCCCCCACTAATAGACGTCTCACTCTCTACTTACCCTCCTTCTACCTGGCTCCCCCCATTAGTAGACGTCTCACTCTCTACTTACCCCCCTCCTACCTGGCTCCCCCCACTAGTAGACGTCTCACTCTCTACTTAGCCTCCTCCTACCTGGCTCCCCCCACTAGTAGACGTCTCACTCTCTACTTACCCCCTTCTACCTGGCTCCCCCCACTAGTAGACGTCTCACTCTCTACTTACCCCCTCCTACCTGGCTCCCCCCACTAGTAGACGTCTCACTCTCTACTTACCTCCTTCTACCTGGCTCCCCCCACTAGTAGACGTCTCACTCTCTACTTACCCCCCTCCTACCTGGCTCCCCCCACTAGTAGACGTCTCACTCTCTACTCACCCCCCTTCTACCTGGCTCCCCCCACTAGTAGACATCTCACTCTCTACTCAGCCTCCTTCTACCTGGCTCCCCCCACTAGTAGACGTCTCACTCTCTACTTACCCTCCTCCTACCTGGCTCCCCCCACTAGTAGACGTCTCACCCTACTTACCCCCCTCCTACCTGGCTCCCCCCACTAGTAGACATCTCACTCTCTACTTACCACCCTCCTACCTGGCTCCCCCCACTAGTAAACGTCTCACTCTCTACTCACCCTCCTCCTACCTGGCTCCCCCCACTAGTAGACGTCTCACTCTATCTACTTACCTTCTACCTGCCCCCCCCACTAGTAGACGTCTCACTCTCTCTATTTACCCCCCTCCTACCTGGCTCCCCCCACTAGTAGACGTCTCTCACTCTCTACTTACCCCCTCCTACCTGGCTCCCCCCACAAGTAGACGTCTCACTCTCTACTCAGCCTCCTTCTACCTGGCTCCCCCCACTAGTAGACGTCTCACTCTCTACTCACCCTCCTTCTACCTGGCTCCCCCCACTAGTAGACGTCTCTCACTCTCTACTTACCCCCCTCCTACCTGGCTCCCCCACTAGTAGACGTCTCACTCTCTACTTACCTTCTACCTGGCTCCCCCCACTAGTAGACGTCTCACTCTCTACTTACCCTCCTCCTACCTGGCTCCCCCCACTAGTAGACGTCTCACTCTCTACTTACCCCCTTCTACCTGGCTCCCCCCACTAGTAGACGTCTCTCACTCTCTACTTACCCCCCTTCTACCTGGCTCCCCCCACTAGTAGACGTCTCACTCTCTACTTACCCCCTTCTACCTGGCTCCCCCCACTAGTAGACGTCTCACTCTCTACTTACCTTCTACCTGGCTCCCCCCACTAGTAGACGTCTCACTCTCTACTTACCCCCCTTCTACCTGGCTCCCCCCACTAGTAGACGTCTCACTCTCTACTTACCCTCCTACTACCTGGCTCCCCCCACTAGTAGACGTCTCACTCCCTCTATTTACCCTCCTCCTACCTGGCTCCCCCCACTAGTAGACGTCTCACTCTCTACTTACCCTCCTCCTACCTGGCTCCCCCCACTAGTAGACGTCTCACCCTACTTACCCCCTCCTACCTGGCTCCCCCCACTAGTAGACGTCTCACACTCTCTACTCAGCCTCCTCCTACCTGGCTCCCCCCACTAGTAGACGTCTCACTCTCTACTTACCCCCTTCTACCTGGCTCCCCCCACTAGTAGACGTCTCTCACTCTCTACTTACCCCCCTTCTACCTGGCTCCCCCCACTAGTAGACGTCTCACTCTCTACTTACCTTCTACCTGGCTCCCCCCACTAGTAGACGTCTCACTCTCTACTTACCCCCCTCCTACCTGGCTCCCCCCACTAGTAGACGTCTCACTCTCTACTTACCTTCTACCTGGCTCCCCCCACTAGTAGACGTCTCACTCTCTACTTACCCTCCTCCTACCTGGCTCCCCCCACTAGTAGACGTCTCACCCTACTTACCCCCTCCTACCTGGCTCCTCCCACTAGTAGACGTCTCACACTCTCTACTTACCCTCCTCCTACCTGGCTCCCCCCACTAGTAGACGTCTCACTCTCTACTTACCCCCTTCTACCTGGCTCCCCCCACTAGTAGACGTCTCTCACTCTCTACTTACCCCCCTTCTACCTGGCTCCCCCCACTAGTAGACGTCTCACTCTCTACTTACCCCCTTCTACCTGGCTCCCCCCACTAGTAGACGTCTCACTCTCTACTTACCTTCTACCTGGCTCCCCCCACTAGTAGACGTCTCACTCTCTACTCACCCTCCTTCTACCTGGCTCCCCCCACTAGTAGACGTCTCTCACTCTCTACTTACCCCCCTCCTACCTGGCTCCCCCCACTAGTAGACGTCTCACTCTCTACTTACCTTCTACCTGGCTCCCCCCACTAGTAGACGTCTCACTCTCTACTTACCCCCTTCTACCTGGCTCCCCCCACTAGTAGACGTCTCACTCTCTACTTACCCTCCTCCTACCTGGCTCCCCCCACTAGTAGACGTCTCACCCTACTTACCCCCTCCTACCTGGCTCCCCCCACTAGTAGACATCTCACACTCTCTACTCAGCCTCCTCCTACCTGGCTCCCCCCACTAGTAGACGTCTCACTCCCTCTACTTACCCTCCTCCTACCTGGCTCCCCCCACTAGTAGACGTCTCACTCTCTACTTACCCTCTACCTGGCTCCCCCCACTAGTAGACGTCTCACTCTCTCTACTTACCCTCCTCCTACCTGGCTCCCCCCACTAGTAGACGTCTCACTCTCTCTACTTACCCTCTACCTGGCTCCCCCCACTAGTAGACGTCTCACTCTCTACTTACCCTCCTCCTACCTGGCTCCCCCCACTAGTAGACGTCTCACTCTCTCTACTTACCCTCCTCCTACCTGGCTCCCCCCACTAGTAGACGTCTCACTCTCTACTTACTACCCTACCTGGCTCCCCCCACTAGTAGACGTCTCACTCTCTACTTACCCTCCTCCTACCTGGCTCCCCCCACTAGTAGACGTCTCACTCTCTACTTACCCTCTACCTGGCTCCCCCCACTAGTAGACGTCTCACTCCCTCTACTTACCCCCCTCCTACCTGGCTCCCCCCACTAGTAGACGTCTCACTCTCTCTACTCACCCCCCTCCTACCTGGCTCCCCCCACTAGTAGACGTCTCACTCCCTCTACTTACCCTCCTCCTACCTGGCTTCCCCCACTAGTAGATGTCTCACTCCCTCTACTTACCCTCCTTCTACCTGGCTCCCCCCACTAGTAGACGTCTCACTCTCTATTTACCACCCTCCTACCTGGCTCCCCCCACTAGTAGACGTCTCACTCTCTACTTACCCTCCTCCTACCTGGCTCCCCCCACTAGTAGACGTCTCACTCCCTCTACTTACCCCCTTCTCTCTCCCGCCCTTCTGGCACTCCCATTTCTGCTTGCCCCCTTCTCGCGGTTGCCCCTCGTTGATTCCCCGCAATACTCCTCTACATATGTAAAGGGTTGAGATATATATAGCAGCTCCGAAGGTTGTGAATTGTGATGTTATGGGACCAATTCCTGGTTAATGCTGACTTGACCAACTTCTTGGTACACTTGAACCACTTTAAAGTATGTCTGCAGTGGTTGTTTTCTCACAAGACTCATCCCAGTATTAGTAATTTGGAATTTCAACCACTGGTTCAGCTGTCAAATCAGATGAACATCACCCAATTATCACTGCAGCGTGGGGAAAGTTTGCCTCTTTTCGGCAGGACGGCGACATTGCTGCAGAAAAAAACTTTTAACAAACTCGTGTTGGTTTACGCTAACCCATGTTTGTTTAGTGGCGAGTTTAAAGGTCATTGTTGAACATACATTCAAATGCAGCAGGAACAGCAAAGGCAAATGCAATCTGTGAGTGTGGCGGGACAAGCAGGACTTCACAGAGCGATCCGTACTTGTGATCGCTGCTGAGGTCGATGGAACAGATCCTCTGAGGTCCCACCGTCGTCCAATTTGTGGCCAACGAAACCATGGTCCCTGCATCGAGCAGCCCATAGCCGTACGAGTGGCTCACTGCATTGGGCGTCAGGAACGACAAAACGCACACCAGAGACGGCTCATGATCTACCGTTATACATGACGATGCGCACGTTGAACTTCTTTTGCACCGTATGTCGCTAACGGTGCCAATCGGAGGTGCGGGGGAAGGACAACAAACTACCTACATAGAATAAAATCTTAACAATCGTTCTGAAGGGTTAATATCTAAACAGACACTTAAATCCACATATTCCCAACTAGAAACGTTTCAGTTTGGCCACGAGAGGTCCGAATGGAAATGTTCTTCATCTAGTTCAGTTTTTTTTATTTTGGTATAGCCCTGTGAGCCATTCGGCTCTTGAATCGGGTGCAACCACAACAAACAAAAAACACGAACAAGAAAAACATCTTAAAATATTCCTGAAATAGCACCATACACCAACGCTGTGTGCAAAAATCCCAGTGGGATGCAAGTCAAACAACAACAACAACCACAAAAACTTAGATTAAGGCCATCAGTCTAACTCCGTACTACAACAAAACAAACATGTCCAAACCAAAAAACGTTTTCGAAATCACCAAAAAATAAAACCATAATTGCAACGCAACAGTGATGATAGGGACTGTGACCGAATTTTTACAATAAACTACATAAATAACATGTAACACCAAATACTAGAGCCATAGCTGACTGCATGAGTTACTCCACAACAACAGAGGCATCACTCGGAATATCAAATTTTTCAATGCACCTTTAACATCAGCACGCTAAATCAAAATACAGATAATACTTTGCAGCGTCATCCGGAGCGAAACATTCTATTTTATTTTACGCCAATGAATAGCAGTGGCAGCCAATAGCACAATGTGAATGCATTCGGATAAAAAGCACCGCAATTAAATACAAACGCCAGAGTCACCACTCCGATGGGATTAACGAAGCTGGACCTGAGACGTACGCCACCCGCTCGTTCACCTTTGCGGCCAACGCCATTGGTGACCCAGTCCCTTGCGGAGAGGAACGCTGGGTTGGAGGTCCTCACGACCAGGTGCTGCATATCTCTCCACGTCAGCTTGGGGCTGCGCGCCACACGGGCAGAGTAGGGCACAGCGCAGGGCACACGGAGAATCAGCCCAACCGCAAGACGCTGGCTAAAACCCCCATCGCGTGGCGTTCAAGCAGCAGTGTCTCCGCCGTGAATACTGTTGCAGGCAAAGTCACGGTGATCATCAGAAATGCTAAATGTAAAGATGTTGCCCACCAACAGCTTGCTTACGCCACTGTTGGAAGAAAGGGCCTCCCCCCTCCTCTCTCAACCAGAGGGAGGGGGGGCCCTCCACTCACCACTAGAAGTTCTCAACAACCACTCTGGAGTGTATTTGGCCTACTCTTTCAAACTGTAAGTACCCACATTTTACCCCACCACACACGACTGTGGTGTGTCCATTTATGATTCATGCTGCTGGGTGGACACAGTCGGGGGGGGGGAGGGGGGTGGGGAGAGTTGTTTCGAATTGCTGCGCCGTCGTGAGGATGTACCTCCAAACTCGGGATTGCAAGTCAAGTTTGCTATCCATCACACCACGGCCACATCCCCTTGGTCGTCCTCATACCAACGGCGTATTAAGCGGTTGTTCACATGAAGGGTCAACTCCATAAAACACTTCAGTTACATTACTCATGTGAGGAAATCTGAGAGTTAAAAAAAAAACACCGCAATGTTCGATCTTATGCCAGGCCAGCTCAGGGCAGCAAGTTCCCACACTAAATTTAACAATTCCCCCAGCAACCCCTCCCCCTCCACGCCATCCCTCCCCGCAAACCTCCCCGCAATCCGCCCAGGCTTCAAAACATTTGTTGCCCGTTGTGTTTTTGTTTAACATTATTTTCATCCCTCGACAGCCTCGTCCAAAAAAAAAAAAGCTCCCACCGGCTGCACCGTAGCCTCCCCCGCCCACCCCACCGTACCAACGCCACAACCACCCCACACCCCTAAACACACCCCCACTACTGCAGCCACACCACATCTGGTCCGGCGCGGGCCGTGCGTACTTGGCCTCCAGGACGAGGGCGATGATGCCGGCGGCGAGGGGGGCCGAGGCCGACGTGCCCGTGTGGCTCGATGTGCAGCGCATGCGGAGGTCCGTCGTCACCTGTCACAGAAAGGGAGAGAGAAAGATCCCCCACCGTGGAGACTCAGCCACGCCGCTGGGGGCAGACGCTGGCTAGCGTAACACCTACGAAGGGTGGCATGGCACACGGGGGTGGTGGGTGGTCAGTTGATAGCTTTTCATCCGAAAACGTCGACTCCCGACACTTGAGAAACCCAGTTTAACCAGGTTGTGGCTGAACGGATTCGAACCCAGGATCTCCAGGATGCAGGCTCGGTGCATCGAACTGCTGCTATCATTCGGAGCGACCGGGCAAGGGGTGTTCTTCGAAAATATGCACTTGGAGCTGAATTGTATTCGTATGTGGGCCAGAGATCAGGTTCAATTGTAAACACAGCAATCAACAGTACACAGCGGTGCCAGAATGAAATGCACTACATGTGATATTCAGTCTAATACACATTCAAAAACATAGCTATGAAGAAGGGCTACTGCGCAAACGTCACATTATATATCGTATGTCCTTTTATGGCAGCGTTGTTAACAGATGTGTTGAGTTTGAGTTATTTGCGCTTGTGCACCCACCCCTGCCAATGCAGCATCACACAAGAATGCAATAATACGTGTTTAAGTCAGGTTTTGGCTCTCTGCAGGCCTGACCAGGGAAACAATACAAACCGTCATCAGCAATTTTTCACAGATGTAAATTCACAAGCTTAAATACGTCGGTTAACAAAGTGAACAGCCGAACTTTGCATTTTTTTTCTTTCAAACATTTTATTATTTATCTCTGGAGACACCCTTTGAAAAACGATATTGGAGGAATTTAAAGTAGCATTCACGAGTGTGGGGAGGGAATTTGCAACATCGAACCAAACAGGAGGCCAGACAGACCCTGGGTTCCGCCGACATTGGAATGAGGAGAGGGCGTGAAGCTGCGAGCGGAGGTTTTCTCTTCAGCGGACGCAATCGACTCCACAACAAAAAAACAGAACCAGTTAATGTTGCGAGAGTTCACTTACTACGGGGCTGTAATCTGATGAAGACAAGCGAGTCACGTCGCACGCCATGTATTTGTTCCCCGTCTCTACCCGCCCTCCCCAGCTCCACAACAAAGTATATTAGCTGCATAATAAACCAACCAAAACAAATACATAAAATCTTGGCAGCTTGGCAACCGGGCACCAACAAAACATCGGATACACCCAGTAGCTGTGCACAGCTTGGAGAAATATCTAAAGCTGCGATCTGTGCTGTCAGGGGCGGAGCCAGGATTTCAGGCCGGGGTGACATTCAACACATTGTAATTTCAAGAATGATTTAGAGAGTCAGGCTGTTGAACTAGACGCCATCGGTTGGCGATACACTCTGACGATGCAGTTGCACGGAGTCCGCCAGACCGAGTGTCGTACACTTATACGCGGAATGTCACCCCTGTCACCCCCCCCTGGCTCTGCCCCTGTGTGCTGCGTATATGAATATGAGCAGACCTCGGTTCTGTTGTGTCTTCACATACAAATATACATAGTACATTTATATATATATACTTTGGATTATCGGCCAATCGATTGTCCAATACCATTAATTATGCAGCGGAGGAAACCGTGGGCAGGTTTAGGCATTCTGATTCTTAAAGCAGAGTTGGGCTCGTTAGACAAATGCTGTGGTTGGGTTGCCAGATCAGAATCAGAATATTCATTTATACTGGAGGAATCCGATGAGCTATGAAGCTTTTTTTAACAGATATCCAGTAGATGTTTTTGGCAAAATAACTCCTCCAAAAATAAAAGTGAGTTGATTTGGCCAAGCAGGTTTGCAAGCTAGCCAGTGGACAGACTGGCAAGGCTGGTGGGCTAGCCGATCGGGCTATTGGGCTAACTAGCAGGCCGGCGAGCTGTTGGCGGACGGACATACGAGCGAGCGGGGCAACGTACGATCTGCTTCTGGCCGAGGCTGCCGCTGCTGTAGGTAGTGGCGAGCGTGGACGAGCAGGCCTCGCTGTACCAGGGCACGTTGCCCGACTGCGTGGCGCTGCTGATCGACAGCGTGTACACGCTGTTGGTGTAGCCGTCGCAATTGCAGCTGTCCTCATCGCGCCCTCCGTTCCCAGAGGCCCACACGAAGATGGAGCCGAGCCCGCCTCGGCCCTGTGCCCACGGGTACCGTGAGGGATGGGGGTGGATGGCACCGCAGGGAAGGGGGGTGGTGGTGAGAGGAAGCGGGGAACGAGTGGGGGAGAAGAGGCCACAATCACAACCGAGCGACGGTGAGCACCGCCGACGTACATGAGAAGAAGCGCATAGGCCGCCGTCCAAATTGAGGCACGTAAATTGAATCGTTCTCACAAAGGGGCTGTTTTGTGCACAATGTTTATTTGCCCCAGCTGCCTCTGTGGCTGCACGCCACCACCATGGGGCGAGGCAGACAGGGAGAGAAAGAGAGAGGATGCATTTTTCCTTTTCCATTTTGTGTATCACCGATAAATTAAATGAAAACCACCCTCACGCTAGCCGTGGAACCGTGCCATCGCATTGTGGCACGGCGATCGCCAATTCTGCCAAGAGAGAGAGAGAGAAGCTGCGTCGCCCGGGATCACGAGGATGCTACCCAAGCGACACGGCAGGCGCGCTTGGCTCCCGTCGATGCAAGTGGCGCCGTTTGCTGCTAATCCGGCGGCTCGGAGGCGAGGTGGTTGTTTGGCTCGCGCTGCGTTCAGGACGCCCGCTGGGAGCGGACCGCGCTACTGCTCGGCCACGCGCCATCGAACGACCAAGCGTCTCCCCCCCCCCTCCCCCCCTTACCTCGGCAACTCCCTTCTGGAAGGCTGCGCGGGCGAGGCTGGCGGGCCCGTCCACTGTCTTGCCGTCATCCTCGGGGCCCCAGCTGGCGCTGTAGATGTGGATGTGCTGGGGCCGTAGGCTCAGCGAGCTGGCCTCCACCGCGTCCGTCACGTCCCCGTCCAGCATGCGCACGCCTGTGCGCACGTGGGCACACACAAAGAGGCAGGTAGCCTGCCTCTTACACCGCACGTGGGCACACACAAAGAGGCAGGTAGCCTGCCTCTTACACCGCACGTGGGCACACACAAAGAGGCAGGTAGCCTGCCTCTTACACCGCACGTGGGCACACACAAAGAGGCAGGTAGCCTGCCTCTTACACCGCACGTGGGCACACAAAGAGGCAGGTAGCCTGCCTCTTACACCACACGTGGGCACACACAAAGAGGCAGGTAGCCTGCCTCTTACACCGCACGTGGGGACACACAAAGAGGCAGGTAGCCTGCCTCTTACACCGCACGTGGGCACACACAAAGAGGCAGGTAGCCTGCCTCTTACACCACACGTGGGTACACACACAGAGGCAGGTAGCCTGCCTCTTACACCGCACGTGGGCACACACAAAGAGGCAGGTAGCCTGCCTCTTACACCGGCATATCCGAGCCATGCAAGGTGTTTTTTTTCCAACTGGCCGTTTACAGAGCCAAACCGAAATCCCAACTGTGATACAGTGGCCTCACAGGACATCTGAGTCTAGCTCGGGGACGAGCAGGGAATCGAGCAAGACTGACACATTGATTACATGTGACAACTTAGATCACTTAGATACAGCGTTAATGTGTCATCTACACGAGCATTGCTTGATCGTTGCGAGTAACCTCGGGAGGCAAGGTTTTGCTTCTGCAGTGGAAAAACCTGAGCCGCACCAGGCTGGCTCGGCACGGTCTCTGTGTGGCTCGGTTGCATATTGGAATAGAGCTAAAAGATCCCCATATAGCCTACATAGACTGTTGGGGCAAACTCTTCTGCGCCCATCTGCAACGCTCTTCCATCCGATACTAGGATGCCGCTAGACCGATGCACTTTTAAATTTAGATTGAAAACTAATTTCCTTAGCACTGCTTTTTGTGCTCAGTTTGTTGACCTTCCCCCAACCTCCAATTAGCATAAGTTGGCTACGTACGGTGTGAAAGAAGTTCAACATACATACAGGTTGATGTGGCTAGCCCCATGCTCAGCCCTCTCTGCGGATGTTTACACACTGGTTGATCCTGGTTGAGGCCCAGGGCTGGTTCAGATATCTCTTCTTCCTGATGTTAGCTTACGCCCGAAATTCAACAGGTTCGTAGTGCAGCCTGCTAACCACTGTTCCACCCACTCCCCACAATGATTGTGTGTGGTCTTATTGAGCACACACACACACACACAGAGATGCACGGCATGGCCATTGGGCCACACGACTGGGTTCCTTCGCACGCTCTCTCACATTATCAGGACGGATATTACATGTACTTTGCCAACCGCCACATGCAAAAACCTCACTCTCACGCGACCAAAAAAATAATATCTGCCGCCTCCCACGCCCCTCATTTCACTGCCACCACAAATTTTTGGTCGCCACCATGCACAAAAGGTGTCATAGGCTCTGAGGCTACAATGTCAATGTACTGCACTGCTCGAAACTACTTTCCCGATCAGAACAGTGTGGGGAGGCCGACACTCACAGGTGGATTGATCGACAAAGACACCGTGTATAGAATAAACATTAACCCATCGGTGTCCCGAGTAGTACGAGTTGGCACATGTCCCATACTGGCAATCCCAAAACCTGATTACTCTGCACAACGGCACATGCACGCACAGACACGGGCACGTGTGGGGTACATACGGACTCACGTGAACATGCATACGCGCGCACAGGCACACATGGGAACACTTGGGCACGTACCCATGTACATGTATATAGCTGTGCCAATGTTAGACTTTACGGGATCACTTCAATAAATCTAAGTCCCGCAACTTTAAAACTTGTAGAAAACTTGTACTCCTTTACACTGTGCATGCTGCACTGCCGAAAACACACTGCCATGTCGCCGGGTGCAGGCAGTGAGCAAACAAAAGACGGCTCTGGCCAGTTGCACAACGCACCTTCAGTGGAATTACCCCGTTCGTTTCTCAGATTAAAATTGTAAAAGGTGCAGCCCTGCAATATGCTGGCTCATGCCACTGTTGGAGCAAGGGCCTCCACTCCAGGGAACTCGAAGAGAGTGCCTCTAACAAGGTATTTTGGCCTACTTTCCATGCTGGCCAGACGTATTGCAAGAAAATTGGAGTACCCACAATTTACCCCCACTACACGCGACAATGCCTTATCGACTGTGGTGCACCCATTTATACTGCTGGACAGATAGAGGTTGGGGGAAGGAGGTGGAAGGATGGGGGTGAGGGGGGTTTAAGAAACTTACACCGTTGTTTCAACTGCTTTGCCGGGAGATTGAACTGGTGACCTCTGGAGTGTGGGCTCTGTGAGCGAGCCATTAGCCCATGGCAATGGTTCAGGCAAAGACGTATACATTACGGGGAAGAGACCACTTAACGTTCTGTATGCAACCGCCCAGATTTATAAGACAGTTTGCAGGAAATAGATGATGGTTTAAGAAACAACTACAACATACAACATGCGGTACCTCCTACATACACAGACTGAAAGCGTACACGCAAAACAAGCGAGATTTTCCCTGAATAAAGGAAGAGTGTTCTTATTATTATTAACATACAGGTGTGTTATTTTGTCTTCGACCACATCGATAAAATGCGTCCCGATCTCTCAGATCTATGAATCGAAGCAGGTTTGCGCCTGTATGGTGCTTGGATGGGCGACCCCCATGCGCACACCTGGGTGCTACAGGCTGCTGTGAGGCTATGTTGTGGGCGGCAGAGAATAACGCAGCAAAAATCCACCGTTGTACTGTACTTATAGGGCGCTCCCGCCGCCTACACCAAACCGCACCGATCAGCGTGGTTAAGCACAGGACGGTCAACAAACCTCCACAGCCAAAGCGATGCCAGGAGGCCCCTCTCATTCAGCAGTGGATTGATTAAAAAAAGGGCTAATAATGTACATGATGTTTTACCTCCAATTTTGGCATTGTAGGCGATTCCCACTCCGCAGACGTTATTGTTAGCGACTGCTGCCACCTCGCCGGCACACCGCGTCCCGTGCCTTCGAGGAAACACGATCGTGGAAGATAAAATATACATAGGGCACGGACGACGAAGAATCGGCCACCGGCACTCCGCGGCACGGCACTGGCGGGCGGAATGTCCGTTTTTAAAAAAAAAACACAAAACTGCTTTGGTGTAAAAACAGTTGGGCGAGCGTGCACGACACCACGGCAGTCGGAATTCACCGGTTGTCGTTGTACGGAGTGTAGCGAGGCTGAGGATCGGGGTCATTGTCGTTGATGTCAAAGCTGGCGTCTGGATCCTGTAGGTGGGATTGTAAACGCAACACTGTGTTAGCATCAGCGATGCAGACACAAGCTTAGAGCGCTCGTGCCTTGACTCGAGAAGCGTTACTAAAAACCGCCACGTCGGCATCGCGATTGCGCTGGGCAGCTCAGCGACGTGTCCTCGGGTTGTGACGTGTGCCGTTCGGTATGATGTTCGACGTTTTGCAACACGTGCCTGCAGCTTCCGAAGAACTATTAGCTATATTTATTTCACCAGATAAGGCCACACTGAGCTTCCGAACAACTATTAACTGCATTTATTTCACCAGGTAAGGCCCACTGAGCTATAAAACTCTTTTGATTTAAAGCTTTCGTGACTGCAGCAATTCATATTCTTAGTATAAAACTCTTATTCAGCAGCGACTTGGCCACAGACAATAGCTCAACAAAGTGGCTTATCATGTGGCAATTTATAGCACCCAAATAATCGCAACGCATGTTTTCTAAATGTGCAGGGAAAAATCAGAGGGCCCGGAAAAAAAATCCACACAACCAAGGGGAGAACATGCAAAGTCCAAATATACAGGCGTCAGGGTTGGGATCGAACTCACGACCTCCTGTATACCGGGCGAGGTAGTTAACATCTTGCCACTGTGGCACCCAACGTCGGACATCATGCCGAACGACACATGGTACGACACATCGGAGCGCCATACATCGCAACCGCGACAACTCACGCAGCACAAAGACTGCGATGACCTCTACTGCTCACTACGGATCGTCTCACAACGGGGAAACTGGAGGCAGGGGTGGGGGGTGATGTGAGCGAGGACCGTGGTGGCACTCACATAGTTGGCCGCGAGGTCTGGGTGGTCTTTCTCGATGCCGTCATCCAGGATGGAGACGATGGAGCCACGGCCTGTGTAGCCGAGCGACCACGCCGACACCACGTTCAGGTCGTGGTGCTCCTGGTTTTCCTGCCGGACACCACAGCAGCGACAGCGTGGAGGATGCCACGCCGATTTAAACCGTCGTTTAAACAAAAAAATCCAAAGAAAAAAAACGCGTCTTGTGTTCGTGTAGATATCTACCCCGGCTTTGCGTCTCCTGGGATGTCCCTAATGAGCGTCACTAAAAAGGTAAAACAGGTCCAGGTGCAACCCTACAATTATACAAGTGCATGTTAATGCCACTTCTGGCAGAAAGGCCTTGACCAGAGAAAATTCTAGAGGTTGAGTTTCCGTTAAATATGTGCATTTAGATTCCTCTGTTTGCGCCATTTTGCAGCAATTCCACTGTTTTTTGCAGTATCTTGAGGTACAGTTACCATTTAGAGGCTTAGATGTTCTATAAATCAAGGTTTGTTGTATTCAAGCTTCATTCGTGTGGGGGAAAATAAACCCCCCCACTTTAAATTGACTTTCATGAGCCCCAGTGTCACTGCTGTCTGATGCCACGCAGCAGTGACAGTGGATTGAGATGCATGGCGAAAAAAAAAAGCAACGCGCGCTCCTGAAAGTGAGTTTAAAGTCTTAGTTCTCATTTAGCAAAGCCAAAAAACTTCAGCCTGGAACATGAAGCCTTGGCGTGAGCTCAACGAGGTAAAGAGACGATCGTGTTTTGAATTTATTTCTCCTTTTTTAATCCGCATGAGGCAGCGACCGCTGTGGTATTCTGGCGCGCGACGTCATCTCTAGGACTTCGAATATGAGACGACCAACGGTAGCCACCGGCCCTTAAAAACGTCGTGCAGAGCACACCGCTGGTGAACCGGAATGCGTCAAATTTATAATAAACGCCCCCCCCCCCGCCCCCGCCCGACATTTCAGAGTTCTCCTGCTTCTTTGCTAGGTCGGCACAAAAGCAGCTCAGCGTTGGCACAAGGTTGGACAGCGGCCCACTTTAAAATATTGATTCACTTATTTAATCTCAGCAGCGATAAAGAACTAAGAGTCAAAGAGATTAGAACGCGTGGGCCCTTGCCAAGAGCTGTCCACGTGGAGCGTGCGGGCGTGACGGAATGTTTAGCCAGTGGCTTACGGTATGGCACATCGTGTGACTTGTAGAACTTTCGCCGTGCCTGCTAAAGCAACATTCTCGTGAACATGAGCGTCGCATTAAAGTGGTGCAGCGTGCTGAACGTTGATGTCTCCGTAGAGAATGCGCGCAATGAGGCACGGTCATTTAATCTCACAGGTCCACGGGGGCGGGAGCGGTGGCTTGGTGGTTGGCGAGCCACGCTACGGACATGGCGATCCCAGTTCGATTCCCCATAGCCGCGACTAAAGGTGCATCCCCCCTCACTAATGAGCGATGGGTCGTGCATCTTGGGTTGCGCGCAAGTGAATCACTCGTGTTTTGGACGCCTCTGCGACCACGGATGCCCACATTTGTAAGCGGGAAAATGAGCCGTGCGGTGTATCATGAGCGATTGGATTGTGCGAGTGACCACTGAGGTTCGCCGAGTAAAATCTGAACAGGTCCTGGGCCTCCTCCCCCTCAATACCCCAACTAGGTGACTAAACGTACAAGAATACATTTGAAGTTGAATAAGCTGAGTTATTTCACCTGCCTTCTAATGGCCATTGCTCTCCCAGAGATTTAGCAATGTGTGTCTGTGTGTGGTGTTAAAGCAGAGACTGTTGCCATCCATCCTTATTGACTCTTTTTGTTGCACCAGAAAATATCATAGTTAAGTTAAAACCCACCACACTGGAATTGACTGCATTGGCAATGATTATAATGTATGTTAAATGAGGATTAAATGACGTGTCGCTTAACAAGACTGACATTTCATTTCTGCTTACGTAAACTTGACTTCAAATCTATCAATAATTTTCAGATGTATTGTTTTATGGCAAGCTAGCCTTGAAGGAAATACTTTTGTGAAACTAAGACTGTCTTTAAATCACTGACAAGTAACCACACATCATCATCACTGTAAGAATGTATCATGAAGAATTATGCGGACTTTTTCACAAAATAAATAAAATCTACGAAACCCCACGTATTGTGTTTAGACAAGGTTGTGTTATTTTCCAGATAATGATCACACTTTTTGAATGTTAACAATGAGGCCGGTTCAGTGTTGACAAATTCAACAATGGGAGAACCGTCTCCTGTAGGTCGTGTGTGCTCATCGAATTAAGTTAATCTCATGAATGCAACGCACCTCTGAGTACAAACGTGTGAATGTGCAATAGATAACGCAGCGCCATGCAGGTGGCTCTGCTCGCGAAACAAAAACCTGACTTCGAATTGCCATGATGCAAGATAACTGGCGCCGTCTCTTCTGGCAACACACATGCTAGACATGGCCATTAAAACAAACACACATGCTAGGCATGGCCATTAAAACAAACACACATGTTAGGCATGGCCATTAAAACAAACACACATGCTAGACATGGCCATTAAAACACACATGTTAGGCATGGCCATTAAAACAAACACACATGTTAGGCATGGCCATTAAAAAAACACACATGGCATGGCTATTAAAACAAACACATGCTAGACATGGCCATTAAAACAAACACACGTGGCATGGCCATTAAAACAAACACACATGCTAGGCATGGCCATTAAAACAAACACACATGCTAGACATGGCCATTAAAACGAACACACATGCTAGTCATGGCCATTAAAACAAACACACATGCTAGGCATGGCCATTAAAACAAACACACATGCTAGACATGGCCATTAAAACGAACACACATGCTAGTCATGGCCATTAAAACAAACACACATGCTAGTCATGGCCATTAAAACAAACACACATGCTAGGCATGGCCATTAAAACAAACACACAAGGCATGGCCATTAAAACAAACACACATGCTAGGCATGGCCATTAAAACAAACACACATGGCATGGCCATTAAAACAAACACACATGCTAGACATGGCCATTAAAACAAACACACATGCTAGGCATGGCCATTAAAACAAACACACATGCTAGGCATGGCCATTGAAAGAAACACACAAAACAAACTCCCAAATGACGTATTCTTTCACGGACAACAAATTGTATCAGGTACACCTGCTAAATATACAATTCCAAACGTGGAATTGTTTTTATTATTATGAACTACTTAACATATATTATCAAGACATTACAATGCTGCCAGGAGGTGAAAGGGCAGGCCATAGATGGAATGAAGTTATCAACCAGAAACCCTGTGCTCATCATATTTATATAATTTTACATTATTATTTATTTAAGAAAAAATGTAAAACCTTTTTGTTCCACTGGCACACCAGAGCTGTGCCAGCGTGGGGGCCCTCACTGTACAGGTGGTAGTATTTGACTGGCTATTTGTCTTGATGAACCAGAACCAAAGCATTGTACGCTGTATGTATGTACCGTATAACTTCTTTCGCACCGTGCGTAGCCAACCTTGCTAATCGGAGGTGCGGGGGAAGGACAACAAACTAAACACAAAAAAGCAGTTCTAAAGAAATGAGTTTACAATCTCGATTGAAAAGTGCATAGCCCCAGCGGCTTCCGAATATTGGCCGAACAAGAAAATATGAATCTGGCTCAGCCAGGCAGGGCCCAGTGGCACGCTTCTGCTTGTGCAGTGGAAAACGAACTTGGCGCCTTCTGCGCGCGGATTGTTTGCACAGTGGAACAGAGGTGCACGTGACCACGTGACAAATTCCCCTGATCTCACAGTAGACTCCAAACCTGCGCTGTTCAATGCACACTCAAAAATCTGGCATGATTTTCCACGCACGCCACAGGGCGCACACAGCCATATTTCTCACATCCGGCTGGGGCAACGCCATTCCCTTGGGCTCCCTAATAAGCTAGGAGGGGGCACGCAAGTAACAAAGAAGCCCCCTCTCCCCAAAAAACAATGACATTTAATGCTCAGTCTTGCTGCCACCAAAACGTTTAGCACGCAGTTGCCTTTAAAAAAGTAATCGTTTAAAAACAGCGTGTTCTTCTTTCTTACCATATCAGGTGTTCAGTGTTACATAAAGCAGTTGACGGGGGGGGGGGGGCGCTGATATGGTGCTTAGTTCACGCACTCTGAACCTCGGTGACCTGAGTTCTATTACTGACCAAGGCTAAATAAAGTGACCAGTGACATCTGCTACCAGTCTTGGGCACCACTTCATCAACCCGCACCAACCAGGGTGAAGTATGATAATAATAATAAATCTACTCCCATGACTGACAGACGTGTGGAGGCCTTCATGCAGCAATAATTGCCAAAGGCCTGTCTTGATTTTAAGCTTTCGTGACTGCAGGAATCCAACCTCTCTGGTTCTTTCGGTAAAGTCACGTAGATAGAAAAAAATATTAAAAGAAAACACGACGTTTCGGACGCAACACAAGCGTCCGTCTTAGGATGATAAAAATTACCTGCTGTTGTGGCTTTATACAAAACAGCAGATCATTTCATTTTTCACACCTGAAGACGGACGCTTGCGTTGCAACTGAAACGTTGTGTTTTCTTTAATATTTTTTTTTGTATCTACGTGACTTTACCCAAAGAACCAGAGAGTATGCCAAAGGCATGTCAAATATTTTGATTACACAAGGTGCAATATTTCAAGTGACGAATGACAGTAAAATAAAAACAACCCACTCCTGTTTGATATCAAGCTACTTTTGTTGTCGTTGGTCGTGGTGGAGGGCGTTGTTACAGCTAACGTGTACGGTTCTTTACGGTCAGCATGAAGAAGCGAGGGGCTACGCAAAGGCCTGCGTATTCATGGGGGGGGGGGGGCTGCGGTGAAATGGCCCAGCCGACAAAAAATAGAACCAGACGAAAGGCGGGGATGAAATACGCCCTCTTCCAGCAAACAAACAAAACACCCAATTGGCCACGTGGGGCGCAGCCCACGCGTGCAGACAACGTGTGGTGGCACAAACCGAGAAGCCAGAGCAACGCGTGCACCTTCCCTTATCTCAACCGCACGCGGGCGCACGTGCACCCACACGATCATGTACTCGCAAAACAAACTGTAAACGTTCGTTCCGCCTGACCGGTCGCAGGTACAGGGCAGTCAGCAAGCACAGTTATTTTTTTCGGAGTGGGGTGGGGGGGGGGCATTGTGGCCGAGACCACGGGCCAGCCACCTTCATCTCTGTTTTTTGTGTCGAGTTTGTCGTCCTTCTCACCCCCCACACCTCCGATTAGACAAGTTGGCTACGCACGGTGCGAAATAATATTCTTGGTTCTTTCGGTAAAGTCACCACGTAGAAGGGAAACAATAAAATAATAAAAATATAAAACAATAAAATTCTCACGACGTTTCGACCGCAACACAAGCAATCATCATCAGGTGTAAAAACCACAGCAAGAAACAAACAATACAATTCTCACGACGTTTCGACTGCAACACAAGCAATCATCATCAGGTGTGAAAACCACAGCAAGAACATTTTTCTTGAGAATTTTATTGTTTTATATTTTTATTATTTTATTGTTTCCCTTCTACGTGACTTTACCGAAAGAACCAAGAATATGAATCCCTGCAGTCACGAAAGCTTTAAATCAAGATTTGGTGCGAAAGAAGTTCAACATACGTGTACGTACATCTCACCGCCAGCGTTAACGTCCACACACAGGTGGCCTTTATTCAGGCCGAATTGTCCTAGGGCAGGCCCAGGGCAGCTGGGATGCCGCTCGCCGCTGATGTTCTTATTCGTGGCCAGGATTCAAGCACAAGTTGCTGGGATTGTAGCGCACGGTTTAACCTATGGGTCACTGCTCCGCACTGATCAGTACTTCAATCTCACACACATGCCAAGTCAATTAAAAAATCCCAAGTGTATCAGTGCTGAAGCAATTAATAAAAAAATATTTGTACTGTATTTCCAATTATATATCTCATGCTCCTGAGTCAGCACGGGTCACAGGGTTGCTCAGTCATCACCATTGGCCACAGACAGCCAGAGTTGTTTCCAATTGCACAATTATTCACATTTTAAAACGTTAGCTTGTAAAAAAAATTAGGTATGATATATCTTATGATTGTACGTCTATGACCAAATCACCAGGAATGCACCCGATGTTGTCAGATATCAGTAGATTAAGCAGGGTTGAGCCCAGATTGTGCTTGGATGAGTGACCACCGTGCATAAAACAGGTGCTATAGGCTTCCGCGGGGGTTCGTTGTCAGGAGAGGGCATTCGTACTATACGATGCTCCAATGTCCCATGCGCCTTGTCTCCACCAAACCACACTGACCAGCATGGTGAAGCATGGTCAACTAACTTCCACGACCCGCACGGTGTGGGTCGGATCTAATGCAGCAGTCGAATGACAATTGTATTGTGTGTGTGTACGCACGCACGCGCACACACACACACACAAAACACAACTGAAACACAGACGAAGCCAATGCAGTGTAAACTTGCGTGCATGCAGGCACAGGCTCATTGTCATGAATATTAATCGACTGCCAACACCTGACCGCGAGTGGAGCATTTCTATTGTGCGGTTGAAAAGTCAAGTTAATGCTAACCCGTGGTAGCCAGGACAGCTGTTAGCGACAGCCGTTTCCCTTTCTTCCTCCTTGAAACACTAATCCACACTGAGCGACTTCCTGCACAAGCACAGCGCACCCGTGGCTCTGATAACTGAGCACCTTGCGTGATGCGTCAGGGATGGGAGGATGGAGCAGAGCCAATGCCCAGTTGTCAAACGTGTTTTTTTTTCTTGGTTACAGCGCAACGTTCCTTCGGCATGCCCGACGATTCACTCCACATCCTCGGAGCCTCTTCAGGAACCGAGTTCAGCAATGTTGGACATTTTGCTTAGTTTCTGAAGAAGCTCCCATGGCAAACAAAACGCCATGCAGCCCAAGCACGCATCCGAGAGCGACACAGCACAATCGCGAAAAGCTCTGCAGCAATATGGTCAATGCCTACTGCCGGATGGATGCATGCACTGGTGGTGCTGGTGGGGCGGGTGGGGTGAGTGGGGCAAGTGGGGGGTGAGCTGAAGTGCATGAGGTGGGGGGGGTGTGGGGGGGTGTGGGGGGGTGTGGGGGGGTGAGGAGCGGTGAGCCTCTCACCAGGTACCACTGCTCTGCATATTCAGGATCCGTGGGCTCCGTCACAACCTCCTTCCTCCGCCTCACCTTCGCCACCTGCTGCTCCACCCAGCTCACCTGCTCGCAGGAGAAGAAGAAATCGGTGAGCAAAAACACAAAATCAACGTCCAGAAGGCTGCGGGAGGTCGCTCCTTCTCCTCTGCTGCCAGTGCTGTTCGCGAAGCTGTCCCCATGATTGGCAGCACTGCCAATGCCCTCTCCAGACCTTCCGTCTCTCATCTGCAGTTAAATAATTACGTCCGATAATAACATTCTTCTTGAAATGTCAAAATCTTTTTTTTTGCCGTTCTACCCACATTCGAATCATCACAGCTCTCATTCCACTTCTCGTTGAAGAAACCAGATACGATGATACCTCGGTAACCACGCATCAACATTAAACAAATTATCCGGTGGTGGTGATGCTGCTGATGCATCGGCAGCAGCACTGCACAAGCACAAATAAAACCTCAACAAATTCGTCAATAACACTGATGCCTTATAAGGAAAGGACATTATAGGTGGCGTTTTTGGCAATGGCCCTTCTTCATAGCACATATTTTTCCTTTGAAGCCAGTGTTCTTGGTGGCTCTGTTGAGTCTGGGCACCGTGGAGGGAAGATGTTTACTACCTCGCGTGGATTTTTCTGCAAGGCCTCCGGTTTGTCCTTCCACATTTAGAAAAAAATCGTTTAGAGTTACTTGGCTGCCATAAATTTCGACATGATGATGATGATACGTCACTTTGTTGAGCTATCATTTGTGGCCAGGTCGCTTCTGACAAAGAGCTACATAGCTCAGCGGGCCTTACCTGGTAAAATAAAAAAAATAGTTTTTAGTTTATAGAGTTTGTTTTGATAATTATGCAGTATCGACCGTCTGGGTAGTAGGGTAACAGTGGTTGAAAAGGCCTGACGGCATTGTCTCGCCCTTGCTTAACCTACCAAACCCTCGTCTTTATTTCTCCTTTACGCTGTTGCCTCTCTCTCTGTAGGCAATGTTTCATCTCGTATGGTTGCCGTGTACAGCATCTTGAGATGGAATAATACAGCAGAAGCCTGATATAAGCACACCTTTTGGGAGTAAGGCCAGCTGTGCTTATATCAGAAGTATTGTGTTCGTATCAGGGAGATGTCATCCGCCTTCCCCACTTCAGTGAAAATGTAAGTGTGTATATCAGAACTGTGCTTGCTATAAACAAGATCTGCTTATATCAAGATTATTCTTAATTCAGATGCTATACAAAATTAAGGTTGTTATTAAAATCTCCATAAACAATGAAAAATTGCGTCTCAACACAACTGTACTTCAAGACGCTTTAGAGAAATGAATAGAACTACTGTACAGGGTGGTCCAGAAGCATTGTGACCCCCCCCCCAATTAATTGACCCCCAAAATGTTTCTAAAATCTGCTTTAAATAAACCCGACTTAAAACAACGATTACGTTTTAGAGAATTCAATGGGGGTCACAAGACTTATTGATCAATCACCCAGTACATTGGGGGGCAAAAGCGGGGAGGGGGGGGAGAAACATGACACAGAGGAGAGGGAAAGATGAGAGAGAGAGGAGAGAAGGATAAACGGTGGGACGTCCTGGGGCCAAGTGAACTGGAGCCCAGCACCAACAACAACAAAGCCGACAAGCCCCAGGGGCATCATTGGGTAGGAAAGGGGAGGGTGGTGGTGGTGGCGGGGCGGGGTGGGGCGGGGTGGGGCGGGGTGGGGCGGGGCTAGATCCTTCACTTTATTGTGACGTCACGTCTTGCACACACTTCTTCACTGCTCGACTCTGGGATTCCCTCTCATCGTCTATGTCCCCGCGCTCACTGTACCACACACATGTGTCGGTGATGTGCAGCCCGTCTTCTTCGAACGCTGGGGAGCCGGACAAGCCCCTCTCTGTACCAGCGTGGACGGCACCCCACGTGTTCACCTTCTGAAGCGCTCGCTCGTCAGCGTGGCGTGCGCGATGACCACCACCACCACCACCACGTGGCTTCTCTTTCGTGATGTGCGCGGTGCATTTAGCGCCACAGCGCGTGAATTTTTTAGCGTTTGTTTTATTTGTTTGCTGGCGGCTGCGAATTTCATATCCCGAATCGCCTCCAGTGCTGTTGCTGCTGGCGGCAATAAAAGTCGTTTAAAAGTCAAAAGTCTTACGAGACTGCTCAAGTCGAGAAACGCGTGAACTCTTCCATCTATTACGACCTTGATTGTGCCGTTTGTTGGCGGCTGTTTGAAGGTTTGGGCCCCGTGCTTTAGCGACGAAGGGCAGCGACGCCGCGGCCTCACGGCCGCGCCTTAAACCACTTGCTGCAGAGGTTCGTGGTTCGAAATCCAGCGGTCGCCCCGATCAATGCTACGGGGTGAATCGATTGAAGAACTACGCTCCGTCTGCTTCGCAGAGGACGCTGAAGATCCCGTGACGTCGTTCGCAAGAGGAGGCCATCGTGCGCCGGCGTCATGGTCCAAATTTGCCAACTTTGAATATCGCCCACAAATGACTCATTTGGAATCGACGCAGCGATCATCGCCGACTGCTGCGAAAAACCTGACAGGACCCTCCTGAAAAGGAGTCATGAGCCTCGGTGAGGCTTTTCTGGGCGAGGCAAGTGCAACAAATAACTGTGTTTAAAAACAAAAACATTTGCGGAGACCGCACTTGTCCCAGTGGTAGCGCTTGGCCCCTGACACAGAGGCCGATAAGCGGCCTCTCCTCGGACGCAGCCGTTGATCCAGTCCCTCCGATGCATTATCTCAAAGTCGTAAAAAAAAAAACCCACCTGGGACCGTGCCCACGTGAGCAGCCTGCCATGTGTGCTGTGACGTGACAGCGACTTGAGTGTTGTCATCGCCGTTTGCGTGTTACAGAATTCGGATTCTGTTTGGAAAACTTTGGCAGCTAAAATGCAAATTCCACACTTGGCTGGGGTGGGGGGGATGAGAAGTAACTTCCTCCGCAGGACCTGCGCTGCATGCAGTTCGGGGCAACTGACCAATAAATAAGTTAACAACGCCCTCAAAAACGGGACATACGCTCCGGTGCTTTATACACTCACCGCTATCGTTAATGATTAAGTGTGTAAACGCCATTTTGCTCGTTACAGTTACCTATTGAGAATGATTTTTTGCCACGTCAACCATGAAAGGCGTACACTGTGCGGTGTCGGCTTGACAAGTGGCTGTGAATACAGCTCCTGGGAGGCCGGGGCAAACGTGCAAGCTCCGTGAAAGCTCCATCTGGAACGGTTCCAAAAGTGGCTTTTTGTGAGACGAGGGGGTGGTGGCAAGGGCAAGGAAAGTTCACCCCGTACTCATTCCACCAAACGCCTTCACGCTGTCATCGACTCTTTTTCTTTCACCAAAATGCAAGAGCGCTAAAGATATCAGAAGATATTTTCCCATGGTGCCAAGGGATGTGTGTGTTTGTGTGTTGTGGTTTTGTCATCGTTGTTGTTGTTGGTGGTGGTGGTCACATTGGAGTGCAGCGTCCCTTAAAAAAAAAGCATTTGAGAGCAACGATACAAATTAAAGTCGAATGAGATGAGAAGAGACGACCGCTGTGAACTCTTCAGTCATAACAACGGCACAACAGCGATCGTCGCACGCGTGCATTTACGGCACCGTTTGTCGCAGCCAGCCACAGCTGGATCTTTTAACCACCGCCAAACAGATCGCGCTGCCGATCAGTGTTCCCGCGTGCCACGGCGCCAGCCTCAACGCGGCCGACTGCGGCTTATCAGTCTGCGCTGTGGTTTCTCGCTCAGGTGCACTGCTGGTGAAACGGTAAAGGTGCGGCCCCTGCAATTTCTTGCTCGTGTCACTGCTGGTGAAAAGGCCTTCACTAGAGGGAGCTCACGAGAGCACCTCTGTAGAGGCTATTAAGCCCGACCCTTTCACACTGGTAAGGCATCTTGGAGGAGGTGGGAGTAAATATACTTTGCCCCATCACGCACGACCTGCGTTGCCGATCGACGAACTAGTGGTCTACCATTTGCACTGCTGGGTGGACAGATGCCTGGGGATTTAAGAAACGTACACAATTGCTTCAAGTCCCATGCCAGGTGAACTGGCAACCTCTGGATTGCAAGTCGAGAGCGATAACCATTACACCACGGCAGAAATCCCATCTTACTGGAACGCCTATTCTGACAGTCGAACTAGGATCCCTATCTTAAAGGATGGTTCCTTGCCTGTAACATCTGGCAGTTCATCAGCATTGACTCGGGCTTGCTCTGATAAATCAGACACTGCATCGAAACCGGTCCAGATTTTGCTGGACCGTTTTAATTTTCTAAGTGGGGAGACAGATGTTTTTGAAGGAGCCTGTTTATTGTTGGCTCGAGTTTCAGCAGAACATCGGCCCGCGTCAGGCAGACTCTAGAGCAGTAGTAAGACAACCCAGACGAGTTACTGGGCCACACGAGCGTCCCTCCTCCATCTCAGCGGGCCGCAAGCTTGACACCGCATGCTTGGGCAAGGATCGTGACACCCACGCATCACCGTAAGTACACTTAGACCAGGCCAACAGCAGGGCCTCCATAGGCTGCATGCGGCCCGTGGGTGACAGGTTGCCCACCACTGCTCTGGAGTATGTTGTCACCGATGTAGGTAATTTGCTACATGGATAGCAAGCGTACTGCCAAGAACAGAGTTTTAAAATAAATAGCAAAGACACGTGTAAAAGCAATTCCCACCAACATCAACATAACCTCCTGAGCCTGTCTCATCACTCAATTGGGATTGTCGACGGCGATCATCACTCCCTACTAGCAGACCAATGCCCCGTACTGGGTCTGACTTCTCGCCTGGTTAAACTAAATAAACGTGAATCTTTCACCCGTCTCATCCACCTCCAAAGGCTCTTCCTCTTGGTTTTCATTTTCACAGGAAATAAACTAAAATATACTGCAGATGTATTCCTGGACCAACGCTATTTTACACATACTGCAGAGTACTTTATATTAGATGGCGATAGCGGCTGCCTTACACGGTGTATATACTCGGGAGTCCATTGATAATTTCCGATGGCCGAATCCGTCAGAACTCAGAAGCTGAAGCGGGGTTGAGCCTGATTCGCACTCGCATTGGCAACTACCGTTCATTAAACAGGTGCTATAGGCTGCGGCGGGGGAGGGCTACATTGTTAGCAGCAGGGGACAGTGCAGCAAAATCCATTGTTGTACCGTACAATGCCCCCGCGGGTCTATGATCCCCACTTTCACCAACCCACACGGACCAGCGTGGTGAACCACGGTAGAATAATCCCCACGACCAGCACGGCGCGGGGAGACCACTACCCAGCAGCGGATTGACTCAAAGGACCGTGCAGAAACATACTATTGCACATGTATACAAATAGATATACATACATCCTAAGTTAGTGTACTTCAAGGATGAAAACGCGCACACACACCACATATCGTAACCATGATCACTTATAACAACGTGTTGCCTGTGCCATGGCGCAAAGTTTCCTGTACAGTGGAAAAACAAATTGTTTAATGTTTTCTGCCTTTATGGCGGGGGGGGGGGGGGTTGGGAGTGGTGGTGGGGGGAAACCGGTTGGGCAGGATTTCGAGTGGGCGGGCCCAATGCATCACAGAGGAAATCTGGCCCGAAGGCAGTCACTCAGGTGGCGCTTAAACGCGAACAAGCACGGGCTTTTACCAATGACTCTCGCTGGAAAGACCAGAACCAGACATTCGAATCTCCCTGGAAAATTATTCGTGGTTTTGTGTACGCTCCCTCTGCTTCTGGAAGGAGAAAGGTTTGAGCTGAACAGTTGGCAGAAAATGGATCTATTGCTCGAACTTTTCATGTTTGTTTATATTCATCATGAGCGTGGCTGTGCGCACGTTTGGTATATTTACGTAAGTAGAGGCGAGTCTATTACTTTAATTGCATTTATTTGTGCGTGCTTTGGTGGAAACCGCCCACCGGACGTGTCAATATTTCACATTTTCTCCTCTCGATTCCGCACAGTCGTGTTTGTGGTAAGAGTCTGCAACAATGAGGGGTGGGGGGGGGAGGCGCTGTTAATAAGTGTTCACGAAGTTAGCCATTCCATTAACGTTGGGATCCCGTCTGGGTACAAACGCGTGTGCTTGTGAAGGCCACAAATTTCCTCCGTCACACGCCACCCGCTTGCTACCTCCGTGTCTTGCCGCAGCCTCGTGTGCAGACTCTCGTGCCGGCTCAGCGAGCGTTTCTCCACTGCGTGGTGTCGAAAGTGATGGTAGTCTTCGAAAATCTGTCACGAAGGGGGGGGGGGGGGTGGTGTCGAAACAAAGGCAAAAACACGGCGTCATGCAACTGCGTTTGTGTTTTTCCCACGGTCGTGCTGTGCGGCTCTCCGATGGGTTGTCTGGTTGTACCGCTGTCGTTGTTCGGCACGGTGTCCGACGTTTCGCTCCACGCGCTGGGGAGCTTATTCAGCACGTGGGCCAAATCGTCAGACACCGTGCTGAACAGCACGGGGGGGGGGGGGGGAGGAAGCTGGCAACACGTTGGAGAGCAACAAAAGGCGAGGGTGGAAATTATTGCAACGCTGCGCAGTCTCAGACAGGTGATTCATCTTGTGGGTTCAAAGAAACGAATGCTCTAAGCACATTCAACCGAGGCGGGCTGACCGAAGCGAATTGTTCGCGGGAGTGTGTCACGAAGTGTCACACATAGCGCGCCGGTGCAGTCACCGATGACATGAAGAAGACGCCCCCAACACAGCTCGGCCAGAGAGAGGCTGTCTCTGGCTCGAGAGGCGATGCCGCTATCTGGCACGTCGGCCGTGATATGATGCACCTGTGACACTGGAATGATGAGACAATGTCATTATTATAAGGCGAGGACAAAGGGGAGCATTGTGCCGTGCGGACTCACGCGCCCCGCTGCGCCTTACGAGCGTCCCGCGTGTACGGTGCGCGCTTTCAACATGGCCCAACTTCGTGTCGCGAGGTGTACAACTCCGGCATCAGCGCCGCGGCATCAGCCACGGTCAACGGGCCGTAGACAAGGAGCGGACAGCAGGGGGAGGGGGGGAGGGAGGGGGGAGGGGGGAGTCCTAACAGTGCAGTGCACCGGTTCGTCGATTCATATTTTATTTCGCTCAATTATTTGGTGGTGGTGATGCTGTTGCTGCGTTGGCAGTGGTGTCACAAACACAATTCGCAAAAACAAAAGACACATTTGTAAATAACAATGCCGCGAAATTAAAAAAATGGTAATATTTTGGACAATGCATGACATGATATTTTTATATTCATTCCTTAGCTCAAGGTACATGCATTGAACCGGGACCAAAACGAAATAAAGACGTTGCTGAGCCTGTGGTAGGAAATTCCCATTTTCGTATAACAGGTACCCGTTAACCCACAGGACACATGTTTTGTTGACCTGTACCAACATTTTACAAGCATTATCGGCCCTGGACAGATGACAAATTGTGTCAACGGTCGAGGTGCTGCCACTGCTGGCAGAAGGGCCTCCACTAGAAGGAGCTCTGGAGAGCCCTCTTTAGAGGGGTATATGTGGGCATACTCTACCACGCTGGTCGGACGTCTCTGAAGAGGCGAGAGACTACCCACGCTTTACCCCCACCACGCACAATCTGCTCGATGGGACTGCGGTGCACCCATTCACACCGCTGGGTGGGCAGGGGCAGAGGGGTCACCAGCACGGGCACATGGAGCTGGTGACCCCCTGGGTTTCAGACGACGGAGGGACCTGACCAATACGTGTGCAATGCCTTTTTACAATGGCAACTTTCATTCCCAATTTGTTTTAGGTTGCACCCACACAGACGTCCACCTGAAGAACACTTTATGAGACGCGCTCTAACACCCTAGAGAGGGCGCCACCTTTTATAGAACTTCCTCCAGAGAAAGTTGGCCCCAACCGTTGCGGGGTTGCACCTTTACCCGACGCCACTTATTTATATCTTCCCCTGTGTTACAATGAGTCACACGTAACTGCCACGGAGTGTGCCATCATAAACGACTATACAGTACAGTGAACTCTTAAAAACAATGCTGCAATACCAGCACTTGTCAGGGCAGGTCGGCGGATGATGGCCTGCCCGTACGACCCACTGTACTGTGTGGGGGCTGGGTTGCAGTCCACGAGTCCTCCAAACACGTGGGTGGGTGCGTGCGTGGGTGAGTGAGTGGGGGGCGGTCGTGTAGTGGTTAAACGCATCCCGAGATATACATTTGGTGACCTGAATTCGATTCCAGCTCACGAAGAACAAATATCCAAAAGCCAGTCCTGAGCACCCCCACCCCTTAAGTCGACCCAGCCTTTAAATGAATACCTGGCGCGCCGTGTGTACAAAAAAAACATCAACAGCGGGGAGACAAAAGCAGCCAAGCGTCGTGCTGGACACACCCACCCGTGCTCGTGGGATGCCGTGAATTCGGTGGTGATCATTCAAAGCATTAGCCCCAGTCTCTGTTTAAGGATATACGGGGAGGTGGGAGGAGGGGGTTTGATATCTTTGCCGTCGTTGTCTCATTATAAACAATGGGGGGGAGATCGAGCATTTGCACGGACCAGCGCGCGTGCGCGTGTTTAGGTTGTGTACACGCGCACGAGCGCGCGCTCCCCCCGCCAGGCAGTGGCATGGCCAGAGGGTTCAGTAGTTCGCGCGCGCACGCGCGCCAGGGGTCATGGCGCAGTTACAAAATGCTTGGAAGAGTCCCAGAGGACATTTGTGCCCAAACATACGAAGTGGGGTTTTTCTTTCTTTCTGCGCCTGGCGTTTGACTGGTGATAAGCAGGCTTTGACCGGTGATAAGCAGGCTTTGACCGTTTCCTCTTGCCTGGCCCTGCTTGACCACATCTATCAAAAGCCATTGGGCGTATGGAAAATGTGATGTAAGATTGCGAGACCTCGCATGAGACCTCGCAATCTATCCGAAAAAGTGTGCGAGGCTCAAATTACCTGCTTTTTTCTTCTTCTAAATAATTGAAACCTTGGATCAATCGGCCAGCTGGGTTTTCTTTTCTCTCCATCTTGGCAGCAACATCACTCGATTCAGCACATTTCACATCTAGTTGCTGCCAACCCTAATGTAGTTTAGAGAGGAATGTCCTTGCATCTACAGTACCTTTGCAAGAGGCAGCTACCTGGGCAAAATACATTGTTCACCATGCAATGTAATATTGACTATAACTGGCGGTGTTATTGCTAGGAGCCCATGGCTGGACCATGCAGCAGGGTGACATTTATTTACAGATTTTAATAAATCACTACGAAACATTTTTTTTCCCCTTTCAAGGGCAGTGTTATTGACGAATGTGTTGAATTTCAAGTGACACCAGTTTGCTTTCATTTTCCCTTAGATTACGATCCCGTGCCTCCGATTAGCACGGTTGGCTACGTACGGCGAGCATACGAAGTTCAAAGTAAACAAGTGGATATGAAGACATCGGTGGTCTGTGCGGAACTCGAAGATGAGAATTCATGCAGCCCGACAGTTGCATTAGCAAGATTTTAGAAACCGTAAGCTATATTCTTTGTATTTTTTTATTCTTTCGGTAAAGTCACGTAGCTAGAAATTTTTTTGCCACCAAATATGCTTTGCGGTATATTGCGTAGAGTGGGACCACCTTCTCTGCACCAGTTTTCATCCTGCTTGTGCCTTTTTTTTGCTTCCTCATAAAACAAAGGGGCCACTGAGACCTCAGACAGTTGTAGCTCTACAAAGCATTGGCTACTGTACACACTTGAGAAAAACACGCGCACACATGAGGTGAAACGCTGCTGCTCAAGAGGAAAGGATAGGAACGCCCCCCCCCCCCCCAAACACGGACTCCCATTATACGACCAAATGATTATACACATGAGATTAACAATCTGCTGAAGAGAACGACGTATCGGTTTGCAAACCCACCGCTCGATGAAGGCCTTCCCACGCCACATGGGTCATTGGAGCTGTCTGATCATACTTCACCCCGCTGGTCCAGTTGCGGGCTGGCCAAGCGCGGCTCTCGGGACCGGTTCAGATAATTATCGCTCACGTTATCCGTGGCTGGGAATAAAACTCAGGCCGCCAGTTTAATAGCGCCCGGTGCACTCACCTCTGGCATCACTGCTCCACCCACTTCAACTGCTATGTCGTTTAACATACATGTCAATGGATACAAGAAGAACTTCTTTTTATGTTGAGTTTGTTGTCCTTCTCCTGCGCCTCCGATTAGCATGGTTGGCTAAATATACATATATACATGGAGAGAGCTGACGCGGGTTAGGACTGGTCATTTTGACATCTGATGCGCCAGTAATATTTGTTAAAGAGAATCATTTGCGACTGCAGGATGATTTGGGCGATAAGCCGACCAGAACAATACGCTTGCTAAGGACGCGGTGGAGGATTTTCACGCCTCGTGATGAACTCCGGACTCGTTTGATTGCGTTGCCACAACGCGCCATTTAAATGTCCAAAATGCGGCCCTTACAGGCAAGTGTAAAGCTTGCTTGGAGCCTCGGAGGTTGTAAAGTGTATTTCTTTGGCCTGTCCTCGTCAGTCAAGTTGTCAGCCAAGAGGGGTCTTCATCTGGCCAAAACGGTTGCTAATATTTTACTACTTTAAGAAGCTGCCAGCATGTGAAATGAAACGTCGGACATCATGCCAAACAAAACGTGGTAAAACCCGAAAGCACAACCCGAAATCACATCAGAGAGTGGACAATCTGTCCCAAACACTGAGTAAAATAATACACACACGAAGGCGATTTTACACACCACGTATTTGCCATGTGTTATTACTTTCACAGTATTTGTTTTTTAGTCCGCACACACACACTTTTCTCATTTTTCATGAAGTGTTTGAATTGGTCTTTTGTCCCAATAACTGCTGGGCAGCATTATGAGCGTAACCGGTTGATTCCAGGAAGGGCCAGATGGGTCAACATGAACTTAGTAAAATCATAGAGCTCTACTTTAACGAGCCTGACATTTGCTGATGAGACCCATAAGGTAAAAACCGGTTCAGAGTTTGCTTATTAATCAAAATGCTACTGGATAACATTGGTTTGCAAAGGCAATAAATAGGCTGATGAACTGAAACATACGTGTTATTTACATTACACTTTGAGACAAATAACAGAGTTCTAATTTTGACTTGAAACTTTCGTGACTGCAGGAATTCATATTCTTGGTTCTTTCGGTAAAGTCACGTAGATATAATTTTTTTAAATATAATAAATAGAAAATAATAAAAACAAAAAACCCACGAAGTTTCGATCGCAACACAA